CTGTGCTGCTGATCTCTGATCAGGTTCAGCTCCCTGAAGGAAAGCAGAACCACCACACTGACATCTTGGTTCTCCAAGCCCTCTGCCCAGTCCAGAGTGAACTTCTGCACTGAGAAGGTTTTTCCAGCACCAGCGACGCCGTTGGTCAGAACCACTCTGATGGCTCCATGTTGGTCAGGGACAGCTTTAAAGATGTCATGGCACCTGATTGGAGAACCATGGAGGTTCTGGATCTTAGAAGCTCTCTCGAACTGCAGCACCTCATGATGTGAATTAACCTCTTCACTCTGCCCCTCTGTGATGTAGAGATCAGTGTAGATCCTGATGTGGAGGGTTCTACTTCCTGTTACATCACTTCCTTCAGCCACCTGTTCGTATCTCCTCCTCAGATTGATCTTATGTTCCTCTAGAACCTTCTGCAGACCAACATCTGCTGAAACACAGAAGAAAAGATGACTAAAAGAAAAAAACCTGATTAAGAGATGAAGTTGGAACCAAACCATCTGGAGCATCAGGAGGTGTTATCATTACAAGGTCTCTTCCTTCACTTGATCTGATGCTAAACCATCTGATCCGTCCTCAGAACCGGAACCTTGTTCAATTGTCAGACAGCATCTTTCTGCCTCTGTTTTGTGTTCAGTATCTGTTCACTGTCAGGATCTGATTCCCAAAGAAGAGAAGATGAAGAAATGCTGACAGAAACCAACAGCAGCTTTCAACAACATCAACTATTTAGCATCATGTCACCATTGTCCTCATTGGACTGGTTCTATTGGACCTTCTGCAACAAACACAGCAGCTCCAGAAGAGGCAGAGAGAAGGAAAAAGGTTTCCTCAGCATTTTCCAGCATTAATGAAGGAAAATAGAGGAAATGCTCTAATCTAGTAGAACAACTGTCATGGTCCATGTTCTTTGTTTCTTTGTTTTCCCTGTTCTCCCTCTGAATGGTTTCTCCCTCCTTCATTTATCCAGCTGTCCTTAGTTCTGTAATTACCCCTGCATGCCTTTAAGTTCCTGTTTGTTCCCTGTGGCAGTCTTATACATGTCTTAACCTCGTCGTCTCGTGGTGTTCCTGGTTCAGACTGTGTCTATTAAACGGACCTTTCTTCTATGAGGAGGTGTCCTGCATCTCATCTGGATCCTGTTCCTCACCTGTTCCACACCGAGCTCATTGGAGCAGCTAGTGTTCACATTTAAATGGCATTTCTCTCTCAGAGACTGGATTGGATGTTTTTAAAGAAATAATTACAGACTGAAAATGTGACTAATTTGGTCTTTTAGAAGATTGTTAGAATGATTACATGGTGTAAATAGAAATATCTATCCTGTAATCAGTGATCTATTGTCAGAGGAAACCCAGGTTTCTGTCTCAGATTTTCCTTCCTTCTTCTTGGAAAAGCACCAGGTTGCTTTCTGCACCTTTTTGTTTTCATGCATCAAAATGACCTCCAGTTTTAAGGAGATGTTCAGTTTTAATGTATTTAGCCTAAAGGACTGAAAACAGAACCAGTTCAGCAAACCCAATAGGTTGTTGGGTTGAACACAGACGGTTCATTTACAGCATCTGGAAATACAGAGATTTAGTTGGAATAATTTATCCCAAAAAGACTAAAGATGTGGAATTGGTTCAACAGAGACAATAGAAGGAAGCTCTGATTGGAGATGTTCAGTCTTACCTGCTGCACAGCTGCTCTGATTGGCTGTCAGCGGTCCAGCCATGGTTCTGGCTCTTTTCCCACACTGGGGGCAGGAGAAGGTTCCTGATGGAGCAGGCTGGACCCTGTAGGACCCAATGCACTGTCTGCAGAACCGGTGTCCACAGCTGGTAGAGACTGGATCCATCAGGAGGTTCTGGCATAAAGTGCAGCAGTTCAGCAGCTCCTCCTCAAAAACGCTGCTCCTCTTCCTCCGTCTGTGGAGACATTTCTTCATCACTGAAATAGTTCACTACCAACAGGGTGGGGCTGTCCTACTGAAGCTGAAGATGTTCATGAAGGTCCACAACAGAAAGTACCAGAATCTGGTTCAGAGCAGAACCTCGACGATGTCTGAAATGATCGATTCTATTCTATTCTATTCTATTCTATTCTATTCTATTCTATTCTATTCTATTCTATTCTATTCTTTTCTGTTCTGTTGGTGTTATAATCTATTAGGGATGGACGTTAACTTGCACAAACTCATGTCTAATAAATAAGTAGTATAATTAGAGATTGTTGTCATTAGAATCTAATAGGGGTGGAACG